CTCTTTCTCAATAGCATATACAAATTATTATGCATCGACAGCTCAAATTTAATGACTGTGCACAAATGATAGAAATCGATGTAGATTAAGAGCATGAACTAATCATCTGTTTGACGTCAGGGTGGTACGACACGGATAGTTGAACTTAGTTATACAAAAACAATGGTGAACGAAAATCTATAATCAATATGTGGGTGTGAATTGGCTACACGAGCATGTTCATTTAGGGCACCCGGTTGTACTAATTGTTCCAAAGCCTCTCTTGAATCGATGATCGATTCAAAATTACTCATGTGAGTACATTCATCAAGACCAATGTGGTATTTACACCGTATACCCTATGCTCACCTTATGCAATATCCCATGATAAATCGAGTCCGTTAGCCAGAGGAATTATGTCAAAAGGTCTCAATTAATTAGGTATTTCCAAACAGGGAAGAATCAAAGCACTAATCCCTCGTTGACATTTCAAGACTTTAAACTCTGATGTGAATCATATTAGTTCACCAAATAAAACTGAAGCTAATTGATATTTCGATAATAATAATAATGGGATGAAACTACTCTTTATAATATTCGCCTCTTCTCAAAATAATCTCTTCACTTTCTGGGGGAAAATTTGTATAATATATCCACTGAATTATAGAATGCATAATTTCAATAGAATAATATATACCAAGTAGAGGTAGAGGGAACTTGGGGAGGCATTGTGCAACCACAGAGGAACTCATTCAAGTTCATTTGACCTTAAGCGGGTCATTTTCAATTACAAAATCTTTCTGCTACAGTAAGACTCATCATTCATCTTAAGAAATATTAAATATCAGTGGGTTTGAAGCACACATTTACCATTTGGTGCTCATTAATAAGCAAGCAATTATTCTAAACTCTTTAAATCGAAGTCATTTCCAATTCCTCACAAGTTTAAGGCCATCAAAGTAAACATTTCATACCCAATTAGCCTAATATTTGTTTGCCTAAAGTGGTGAGAGGGGGTGTTTAGTGATATACCCACCTCTGTCGAAATTTCATACTTTATTTCAAATGAAACAAAGCGCAATAAATCTGCTTCCTTTCAGGTTATTCTGAGAATGAACTTGCTGAATGCGCTTATTTGTGTGAGTTTAAGGAAGCCATACCTAGCGCACTACTTTGTTGGTCTAATAACGTACTCCTACACCTTGATGACAATCACTATGACATGCTGGCTAATTCTGACGCAAATTTTAACAGCAGTGCGCAAGGAAGTCTCCAACACATCACGAATAATTGCCTTCATTGTTGTACTAGTCTTGTCAGTTGCTTTTAGCTTTGCAATTGGAAATGATCAATATATTTTCAGGAAACTTTTCCTCTCTGGGTAAGCTGTTGCCGTTGATGATATTAAATAAAGTATCTAACATTTTAACTGTCTTCTCTCAACTTACTAGACCTACAAAACTGCTATTCTCCTACCCAAAGAATGAATGGAAATCACGCTTAACGTTGGATCAATATTCAACCCAGTTTGGGCTGCTAATTGGCTTCCTATTTGAGCATTTCAAGCAGAGAATTGAATCAAAGGAAGTTGATGAAACAGGCGATTCGAATAAGTGGACGGATTATTTGAAATCCACACTCTTTTACTCAATTGGCACAGTCGTATTAGGTGTGAGTTAAATAATTACATATTACTTAATTTGTGAAAGTCATCTTATAATTTCAATGTGTTGTTTTGTTCGTTAAGATTTATCTCTACATATTTGCTTCAAAAAGACGAAATTACTATGTGGAAGTGCATAAATACTTCTGCCACTTTCCGGTAAATGTCTCTTTCACTTGTGTCTTTGATCACGACCAATGGATACCTTACTCCGAATTACTTAATTATAGGTTGCAGCGATACTACTCTTGCGCAATGCAACTAAATACATGAGGGGTCATGCGAATAGCTTCTTCGCGTGGTTTGGAAAGTTCGCCTTGGAGGTTAGGTTCTTCTACTCTTATATTTACACCTAGCCACCTGATTCGGTGTCCAGCCCTAAAGACAACGACAGAAACCCAGAGATACTGGGAAGCTGAAGTCAACTAGGGGGCTAATGATAAATATCACAAAGCCTGTCATTTGAAATAATAATATTAATAATATTTACACCTAGAAGTGACACTTAGATTTGACAAAATACAGCCCATTTGAAATTGCTCAGTTAAATTAGAGTGAACGAGTGAATTAATATATATAAGAGTTCCAAAATTGAGAGATTTGAGAGTCAGATTAAGGCCTGACCGAATACATTTTCTGAAAAGTCAGCAATTGGGCAATAATACAAGGCCAAGTATCCAGTCTACATAGAAATCATTACTAAACGAAGGCAAAGTATTCAACCACTGGCTTTTTACCTTTATCTAATATAGTATATGCAATCATAATTCATTAGAGCACAAAAAAGTACATAAACAAAAGTATGAACTAAACTCCAGAACGACACTTGCTTAGTTGGAGAAGACAAAATATAGTGTCCTGAGGCCAATTCGCTTCTGATTTACCGAAGTAAATTAGAGCATAAATGATATTTGAGAACAATGCTCAAAGCACTGGTCTATGCCAACGCCTCTCAGGACCATACAGTCCTCTTTAAAAATAAACTTTATTGAAACTAGACTGTTAACAGAAGGCGCTAGTGCCCTTTGAAACATGTTCAACACGTGTCTACAGCCTTTGCCTGATACCACCAAAACTCATCACACCGGCGGCATCAGTCTGCTGCTGTGAGACACGCGTGAGTGCGGTTAGAAGCATTTTTCAAAAAAATAATTTGGGCATTAAAGTGTGTCGGTCATTATTTTCTTAAGTAAAAGTGAGCAGATTCCTCGTTCCATCACTTTTCAAATGACATTAGGTATTCAAGGTCATTCTCCCTTGGCAATTCTTCGGTCTAGACGAGTTGGAATAAACGGACCAATTTAAACTCAAACGCACAGCTCTCGAAAGGTGTTAAAACGTACTCGTAGAAACGATTAAAAAGAGCATATAATAAATCAATGAAAATAAAAAACAATTAATAACACGGTGTAGAAAGTGCTCAGAGGAACGAAAAAAACTGAGATAAATAATAATTCAAATCACCGAATAATCATTCTTTCTTGTCTATTTTTCAGCTCTTCATTCTACAATATCACATTCTTTTGACCTCGCATATGACTAAAAATTTCTCGATATTCACGGAAAATCGAATTGTCAATGCAATTATAATTACTCCTATCTTTGTTTGTGTCAGCTACCTGGCTAATCTCCTGACGGGGAGAATTTGCTCACTTCTCCTGCCAAATATCAACTTCTTTCCCCGCACGACTGAACCAGAAGTTTGATTGAGCGAGCGATATCGAGAGATTTAGTTTTTTGCAATGTTTTGATACACATATGAGTTTAAATTTTGGAACAAAACCCCCTTTTTAACTGATAATGCCTTTTTTGCATCTTTATCTCGTTTGGAAATATGAGATATGTGAAGTTTTTTTAAAAAATACGACTTCATTATTTTATCACTGACAGGGACTAAACCAGACCGCACAAGATTTAGGGTTTTATTGAGGAATTACTTTCATAAGTGTAAATAACTTGAGTTAAAACCAATTACATTAGGAGAATTCTTCCTTAAGAAAAACCCTTTTTCGCTAACCTTATCATTCGGGAGTTTTAAAGTGCTAAGACGAAAGAAGGTATTTCAAGTCGAAAAATGGGTCTGTAAAACTAATATATTGCAGTAAATAGCAGAATGTCGCTTAAAACGCTTGGAAACCCTATGCAAATTACCATTGGCCAGATTACAGTTCTGTAGGTAAAAGACACTGTGTGCTATTGATTAGTGAATCTACGTACCAATTGGTCATCTATCTCCATTGTACATTCGTCTTCTTTTACATTGCTGGTACGCTAGCTAACAGGCAAGAATTAGCTCTAATTTAAGGAAGCATTAGTTCATGTCACCCACCATCAAAGTACCCTCTCTCTCTAATGGAAACCGCGGTCGTTGAAAACAATAGGAGTTTCATTTTAGATTGGAAAATGACGTTGTTGTTAAATCCATTTATTTAATTACCTTGTCCAATAAAGGCAGACCCACAAAGGAGTAATCAGACTCTTGGCTTGGCTACATTAAAAATAGTCCAGACATGGTTAAATAAAGCTGTTCTAATGGGAATTGGGCTGAAAATTCTACTCTTTATGGAAAAAATTGAAAATTTGCCATCTCTAACGCTCTGATCAACGTGTGAATTTGCCAATTGGTTTAGATCAGTTCTCAGGTGTTTACTTGTACTCAAAAGAGTTTTTAGATCGTATGCCTCATATTAAATTGCCTCAGTGCTATCAGACTTCAATCTCTGTAGAAATACCTATTCATTAATTGGTTTAAGTAGTGTGTTTTTTTTCGAATCCAGGATGAACGAGATTGCAATACTCTTACCTAAAACAAACACATTTTTCTATTAGTCAATGGCTTAGTTGAAAGTAGCGGGCCCAAGGTTGCTCTCTCCTTTTTAAAACAAGCCAATTAATGACTAAGCGTTGTGTCAATTTTAGGCCATTAATTAATGTCGACTTAAATATCCACAATATTTCTTCCCTCTAACATACGATCCAACTCGGAGTATGAAGAAAAAATACGATCATAAGATTTTATTTTTGTTATCATATTTTTTGCGTCACATTTAGAGGTATGGTTAAAGTGAGTTCACTTTTTATGTCTAAAAGATAAGCAATTTTTTTAAATAGAGTTTGCTCTCATTAACGAGTTGTTTATTACTCACGCAATGTCGATGAAAGCGCAGCGTGACCTGTTCAGTCATTGCAACTCCTGATTGGTTGGGAAAGCGTGTGCCTATAAGCCCTCTAGCTTGCATGTAAACTGTGCTATCCACTGTATTCACGGCAATTCGTATTATTTTCATTGAGAAACAGTAGGGAAAAAAAACAGGGGAAACAGAATTTAGGAAATATTAAAAAAACAAAACAATAGCTTATGAGCTTTCCGCGTCTAAGAAGGATACCTTCAGTTGCTTACAACTCAATTTCACCGCTAAACCTGAATGTTCATATTGAGGGGGATAATGGAGACGCGGCCTACTATGGAATTACAGGCACCACTTTACCCATATCCGAGATCTCAAGACTCGTTGACATAATACGCCGAGATGCTACTGAGGAATTGGATGGTTTCCCGTTTGAAATGATACAAAATTTGAAAATTAATGTGGTCCTATCACAGTTACCGGTAAGTAAATTCAGCAGATATGTTATCATTGAAACAGATTTGAAATTTTACCACCTCCAGTTAGGGAAATTAAATAGTCCAACAGGTTCTCAATCTCTTCATATGATAGGTTAATTCTCACGACTGGAAAGATGCCAGTTTGATAGTGAAATGAATGTCAATTTTCCGGAGTCAAGGTCATATTCATTTTCTGGGGGTTTTCGCAGAAACCCAATGGATCTTACAAGTGATTTTTATTTTAGGCATTCTACTCCGGTCTTGATTTGATAACACTTTTATTTCCCAGACAAAGAATGGGTATTTTATCGCGAATTTGGACAATTGGGGGTTATATTTTTAGCAATTCAGTCTGACCCACATATTTGCTAAGTTAGGGAAGGAAATGTTGGGCCGGAACGCTCAACTTTTGTCGTCAACTACCCAGTAATTCTTCTTCAATTAAAGTACGCACTGACAACACTGGTTTATAATGACAAATACTGAGATAGAAAGACGTAAATCTTTCTCTATCTTAAATGAACTTATTTTTTTTAAGTTCATCAAAGCAATATGTCGCTTTAACGATGTAAGTTAATCAGTGAATGTATTGCTTCAAAGAAAAATTAGTTAAATTAGGCGGGGGGGGGGGAACGGAATGTGAAAGTTTGAGAGTTCTATATTACCATATGACTTTGCAATTACCCGCCTCATTGTCTGCTCATTTGGATGCATTCAATTCAGCTTAGGCTCAGAAACAGATGTGTATGCATGACAAGATCAATAATTTGTATCTCTCCGACTTTTCCCAATCCAACATTTCACGAGCAACTTTCAAATAGTAGGTGAAACCACACGTTATAATTGTTCGCCTCCGCAATTTTTCCTAAGAGACTAGGAGGGGCGGGTGTAAGTCAATAAATTTGACTTTCCTTTGATGGACGTTTACTATTTTGATATTGAACAAACTGCCCGAGTGATAGTTGTTTACATGGCATAAACCGCACCCTACGTACTGTAAGGTTGTATACAATTTAGCCCCATTTATAATAGCGCATTTGGTGTAAATATTTTAAGGAATTTTATTTTATTTCAAATGAATACCTGGCTTATTTTATTTTCCCTTCTAGCTTAAGAACTGATACGGCAGTTTACATAATGCTATGAAGAGTACCAATCTGATAAGGCAAAAAATATGTTTCACGTACTCTTGATTAAATATGTCATCGATTTTTGTCGCCCAGTTTCACTTACTTTTATTTAAGCACGCATCACTGTTAGTAATATATCAATACCCCAACCCATAAGTGAATTTTGCAATTAATTATGGAAGTTACAAAGTAGATTTAACTGGAATCAATTGAAATTTTACAGACCTCCTAAAAAAGCCAGATCTTCGAATTTCGTTTTGAACTTTCACCGACAGCTGTCAGACAGCAGACAGCCGCAGTACCAACGACCCAGAAGGTTAAGTGGATAGGGAAGCGGAGTTAATTTAATGGCAATGATTAAAAGTTGCGCGAGGGGGAGAGAGAGAGAGAGCGCGCGTGACAACTGAACATCTTCACCGCCATCCTTCGACTATCATGACGCAAGATTTTATGGACGATAGCTAATTAACTGAGATGGAAGGGAAAAGTCTATATTTGGTGAAGGTGAACGCTAATAAGCTAAATTATTGAAAAATAACTATATCGGATTTTTTGTGCTCTCGCTGGGAATCAAACTCGAGCTAGTAAAAAAAATTCCTTCCCAACAGAAGGTGTCCCCTTTCCCTGGATCAAACCATGAAGTGGTCTAAAAAGTTGATTGGACTAACAATGAGCTCAAATTCAATGATGTTCTGTATGCAGCTCTATACGTGTACTGTGTTTTTTATGAGATTAAAATTTATTCCGACACTTCTGAAACCTTTGAGTTTTATATTCTTTATTAATTTTTTTCATCGAATTTGACTTCAAATATTTTTATACCTCCAAAATTGAATTAGAATTAATTAGGCGAAAAATTTGAATTCCAAAGCAAAAATCAATTCCGGGAACTGTGAAAAGAACCGTGTCTTAATAAAAAATAAACGAGTTTATTTAATCAAAATTTTGTCCTCTTGTACAGTTAAATAATTTGTGGTTATCAAGTTATTATGCCAAAATAATCCTTTCGCTCCATTTTGAAGTGCTCAGAGTATATGTCACAGCTGTTCTGGAAAATTCTTCATGGAGTAAATCTACTTCAACTCGCTTGCATCCTTTCCGCGCACTCCATCATGGATGTCCTTCTAAATAGCAAGATCAAACGCATTCAAACCAATGTAAGTAATTCTATTTCTCCTGAAAATCGACTTATTACAGTAAAAAATAAAATTTTATCATTATTAAACGTGTTGGTGACCTTGACTATTGCCAAGAGCTATGTTGTTTAAATTCGAATCTGCTATTCATCTCTTTAAAGATTGTAATAATTTTTTCTGCCAAATGCCTTCTGTCTTAATTATATAAATGGTTCACAATTCATGCCTTCTTTAGAAAATTGAAAATTAAGTCACTTCCTTCAATTTACTTTGATTACCAAATACTGAGATCTTCGGCGAATGTTCCTTGAATTGGAATAATGCACTGGATGGGGGGAGGGATTGCCCAAAATGGAATATTTCTAACAGATAATATTAAACTTGAAGACAGAGAAAGAGTTCTATTCAGAGGTAGTGTACTCTTTATCAATTTATTTATATCAAATGGCAGTCGTCTTGATGGTTATCATTAGCCCTAAAGTTGACTTCAGGCTTCACAGAGAGGAGGAGGAACATCAAAGTGAAATAAAGTCGAGAGGGGAGGGGGGGGGGGGGGGGGGGGGGGGGACAGAAGTGTTTCAAAGACAAGGCAAAAAAGGTAGGAAAAGGTAAGATGAGTACTGTGAAAGGGTACGAATATGACAAGCTGTCGGGCCATGGTAGTTTGAAGTCAGAAGTAAACAGCCGGTTTATTTACCTTTTTTGCAATATGAATAAACGTTGCTCAGGGTGCAGCACGTGGAGGTAAGTCTATCACACACCCCAAGGTAGTGTATTTGTTCGTGTCAGACGTCTTACCCCCAGTAAGTTAGAGCTGACCGCATCGATGTTTTAGTTCACCGGCATCTCTTTGAATCTACCCAAATTGATGACTATTTAAGGAAAACGACATTGAAATTTAAAAAGCATTGAGCTATTCACAGTTCCACAAGTCATATACTTTACTGTCCAATTCAATAATGCTTGAATTTTTCAAACAACTATTCGATTGTGCAGTGCATTTCCTTAAGAAAAGAACCCATAAGATTTCACAATAGTTTTCACTTTATCTTATTTCAAATTTATCGCTCGTTGAGTGCTAACAGTTTTGGATGCCAACACGGTGAAATTTGTTCTCTATTTTTGAGAAATGGATTAATTCTACATGTTTTATTAAAACAAAACTTTTATTTTCTTATTATAGGAAGACGTTACTTCTGTGCATATTTACGCGGCTATGGGTGACTATATTGCACTTCGAAAATTAACAATGGCTGAATTCAACATCACTCAACAGGACAAGGTACGATATGAATTTGGGGCCTTAATCAGCTTTAAGCCTGTTTTACGGCTGATTACCTTCCATCCAAAAAATCACCAAATATTTTGAGAACTGTCATCCACAAAGATAGCCTTGATGCTTTGCGTCTTACTTAGATGTGAGGGTTAGTAACAGAGAAGTGAGATTGAGTTTGGTTGGTGAAATCTATTCAGGTAGATGTTTATTTCCAAGGAACGAATTAACGCGTTTCGAGGTAGCCAATACCTTGAATATTGCCAGAATGGTAACATTGTCTCATGAATAGCCCACTCTGAACTGAATACCTGCGTGTTGATCTGTCCATGCCCAACACTGTCAACTTGTAAATACTGTCTTAAGAAAGAACTTTCATACACTCTCAAAGCTCTTTAATTAAATTACGTGTTATCAAAATTTAAATTTTTGTAAGCACGATTATTTTACAATGAAGACAATTAGACTTCAATGGGCTTGAGAAATAAGACTTAGATGTCCATCAGACGAAACAAATGTAATTTATATGCTTAGTTTAAACATTTTTTAAATTTAATAAATCATTTTTTAAATGTCTATTTCTTCTAATGATCAAATCTAGCATATGTGTTTAAAGTGCTTTAATAATTAACTACGTGTAAGGGTTGGTAAAAAGTTGATGGAATGAAAATTTGTTTATTTGCATAATGAAAAATATAACCCATTTATAGTCATGTTTGAATTGATTTAAAATATTCATTATGACGCCACCTTAAACAATAAAAGATTGACAATTTGATCATAACTGTAAGCTATCAATACACAATGTGACAGCCTTAACCATTTTATAAGCAACAAGATGTTTGTTCGTCTCCTGCCATTTGTTATAAAAGGGTATTTTATTCAAAGTTTAAACTTAGTTTGTTTCTATTTGTTGTATATTAACACTTCCTTTGAGCTCTAAGTATCCTATAAAATACGCTTCATATCGATTGATAACTAAAATATATTTTCAATATTACATGAAACAAGTTTCTTTTATTTAAAAAGAAAACAACTTATTAGCTCTTTATAATATTTTATCTTATATCGCAAAAAGACTTTTTAATAAAGTGTCTCATGTTTTGCTAAAGAATAATAAAGGGGAAATTTTATTCAATTTTATTTACCAAAAAACATTTAAATTTTTTTATAATAAGTTAAATAGCGAGTGAATAATATTAGAATTGCCCTTTAACGTATTAGCCTTTCCAAAAAAACTTATTTTCTGTCAGATTAATACATTGGCGCGTTAGAAACTATCGCAATCAAAGTATGCTCGAATATTAACAGTACCGCCAATAATATCAATAATCTTTTTGTTTTAAGTGTCGATTTAAACAATCAAAGTTATAGTATTGTGAATTCAAGGCAGTTAAGTTTAAAGTAAGCCATTTTAAATATTGGGGAACCAAATTATAGCAATTAATACTTCAATTGATTTGCCTCTCCATCTACTAAAAATTCTTATAACCATTATATTTATTATCAAAATTTAAATTCATGAATATTTAATTGAACACTATAATTAACCAAATGTAATAACTCCATTTTTAAAGATGAAAGTAACATTGAAAATAAGGTTATTTCTGTTTAATGACAGTGAATATCTAAATTGCTCAGAAATTTCATTCAGATACAGCATATACGTACACTTATTTTGCCCCAAAACAACTAATTCAGTGGCTCAAAGTTGTGCGTGGTCGGTTTTAACAAAACAAATATTATAATAAATGTAATTTGGCGAATGGGTGAGTTTATTTGACCTGTTTTTGGATGTTCGACGAAAGATTGCTTAAGATGCGGATAATTACAATGTATACTGGAAGTAATGCGGCGGTTATTCGGTGTTGAAAGCGACCAATTCTCTGCAGTTTCACCTCCCCATGGTTATCTGGAACTATTCTCTTCCGTTTTAACTTTGCATTTTAAATGATTGTCTCAGCTTGCATTAACAAAAACGTTTCAAGGCCACTGATACATATGTTCGAGAAATTATTATAATGGAAAGTTCTGGAAATTGGGCGACAACTCTAAATATCGAGGTTCAAAATTTAAGCGCAACAATACTGTTTCCTCATTTTGATTAGAATTAAAAGATGCTGCCAAATTACTGCAGGAACGAAATCTATTTATCTATTGCATTTAGCTGGGTCGAACTGCTCTACACTATGCCGTGCAAACAAATCTGCCGATGGTTGCCATGCTACTTTCAAAAGAACCAGCTGCCATGCAAATTGAAGATAACGCGAGTTAACCCCCTATTTTTGCTTCACACCCCCCCCCCCCACCTCCACAGTGGAAATGACTAACAAATTTTTTATCTTCCATCTATTTTGTCTTTAGTTTGGCAAATTACCAATTGACTATTGTTGGAATTATTCCTTGCAAGATATTCGCGACTTTCTAATTGCACAATCCAAGGCGCCTTCCGCGGATTTCGTTGAGGACAACGATGAATCCGATGTGGAATTCGCATCCACGGTATATGCTTGCTAATATGTGAATATTCCTTTCACGAAAAGGCCTGTTAGAAGTTTGCTCTTAATTTTTGAAATTGAATGACACCTTTTCGTCCTTAACGATTTTCCAATTTTGTACTAAGCATTATAACAGAATAAGCACAGTTAAAAATTGATGCTTTTGTTGTCAATATTTATCTTATAATGAAGAATTGACAAAGCATTAAGTGCTCAGCATACTAACTCGTCTCTAAGACCTTCAAGAACCTACATTCAACCCGTTTTAGTGATTTATTCATGCACAATTGAACCGCTATGTTAAAATAAAATCAATATCAGAAAGTGTTGGAGTTATTTTCAAATAAATTTGGCAAAAATAATTAGGTTTTGTTTATTTGTTCAGGAACAGGAAGCTCAAGAAACTAATTCTAGCATGGCATTAAAATTTGAAGCCTACCTCTGCACTCAAGTCAACCCCCTCTACTGGTAGACTACAATTTCTTTTAATTTCAACGCAATTGAAGCGTTCACTATCACTTAACATTCTTAATATTTATTTTGTAGCTACAAAGGTCACACTTACTGTGAATGTTGCGATGACGCTTACGATCACGAGAGCTTTAGTGGAAATGCCGTTTTGGATAAATTAATTGCTAGTCGAAAGGACCGTTTCATCAAACGACCTACCAACACCTTCGGACAGTTTGAAACACCCTGTTCCAGTGTCATGGCTGAGGCAAGTAGTTTTGGTTTGTAACAAATCGAATTGCCTACGAAACTTTGCATTAATTTTCATCCTATTTTGTAGTTTGTGCGATTGGCTAATGACACGCCTGTGGAAGATTTAGAAAAGCTCTTTTTTCGCATATGGAAACTGCGGAGGCCTGGTCTAGTGCTTACTCTTCATGGCTCTGTGCCGCTAACAAAGGCCTATCAAAAGCGATGCTATAATCTAATCTTCGGGGTGTTTCATAAAGCCTGTAAATTCAAAAAATTTGTAATTTGTCTGCATTTAAATCTTGCTATAAGGTCAACATAAATGAGTGCCACTCCACATTTGTCATAATACTTCGATTATTTATGCTCACTGATAGTTAATAGTTTTCATCCACATAGAAGAATATTAGCCAATTATTCGCATGATAGATAAATGCTAGTTTTATTCATTCTAAAGCACAACAATTTGCATAAAGTTTCTAGCTTATAGTGTATTATTTCGGGTGAAATGAAAGCAAATATATATTAGACGGGATTCGTTTGCCATTTGTAATGAATTTTGCTTATTTTCAGTGGCGTGGATAATCACCGATGGTCAGTATGGTAGCATATCCGAAGTAATGTCTATGGGAATGCCTGGTTATGCAGAAGCTTACGGCTTGAAGCGTCTTCAAGTAATTGGAATAGTGCCATGGAGGCGTCTTCCATTTCAAGCCAACCTGCGTTCCTCCAACTATATGGTACGTGTTAGAACTGGATTAATTTCTCATATTTTCTTCATAAACTGATTGGCTTAAAATGGATGCATCAATGGAACGCAGTTGTGTAGTAATATCAAGCGTCTCCGAATATAAATTTTTTAATTATATATTTATTTATATCGAATCGCAGGCGTTTTGATAGTTACCAATAGCCATTCAGTTGACTTTGGGCTTCATTGAGGGAGGAAGGACTATCGAAGTCACAAAAGTCTAGATGGTGGGGGGGGGGAGTCGGAAGAGAAGTATGATTCACAGATGTAAAAGAGACAGGCCCAAAATGTGGAGAAAAAGGAGAGGTAAGGTGAGTACTCTGGAAGTGATGGAATATGACATACGGTCGGGTCATGCTGGTTTGAAGTCAAAAGCCAACCGCAGGTTAATAGACGTTGTCCAGGGTGCATCACGTGGAGATACGTTTAGAGCACACAAAAAGTATATATCGAATAATCTACGGTGGTTGAATTAACGCAACACACTAATGTTGTAATACCAGGTTTCTCTGTATGGAAAATGATCTATACCCTATGATTTGAGCATATAGTAAACCGTTACGTTTTTTCGCGTTTTTTGGGCTATAAAATATCTCATATTTTCAGGGTTCAACACAAGTCGAGTTTCCACCGAAAGGTCATAAATCCGAACTCCATACACCGTTGGCTCCTTATCATACACGCTACTTATTCGTAGATTCGGGATCCAGAAATGATATACACTGTATACAAGAATTCCGAACAATGTTTGAAGTCTGGCTGACTAAAGTCACCTTCCAAACGGACAACTGCAATCTCACCCGTAAGCTATCATTTAAATTTTATTTATCATTTCCTCCGGATATGGCTGCTTTAAAAAGTAAAATTATAGTGTTACTAATAATTTAATTATTTCAAATGTGATTTCACTCAAGTATCGCAAAATTAAATTTTATTTGAAATATGGAGTTAAATTTCGGAAAATAACGGAACAAATAAATGCAATTTTTTGCGATAGAATTGAAAAAACAAATGCATATTTTAAATAATTATTTCATTTATTTTCATGACTTGAATAAGTGGGAGTTATTTAAGCATTTCCGTTTTTTGTCTAATGTAAGAACTAAGAGCGCATTCCCAATTGGTCAATTAGAAATTTAGTAGGAGCACATATTTCAATCTAAAAGTCATTGAGACGCTGTGATGCAAACCAGAAGAAATTATCTTCACTCGGATTAGTGTCACCATAAGTTGAGTTATTCTTCATGAGAATAAGGAAAATTCCATGAAAATCTGCCTAGAAAGTAGATGCTTTATAGTTGAATTGACATAAGTGAAATTCTTGGCCACCATTTTCATATAATGTGCTCCATTTTCTGAAGTTTATTACTGCTAGACTTCCAACGATTTGTAGATTACTTTGTGAAATTTGATCTATGCTGTAAAAGACGCCTTTCTTTGGAATGCAGTCAAATAATGGTGCAGACTTTGCAGCCTTTGTCATGAGAAAGATCAAAAAAACTTCAATATGATTTTCTATCTTCATGACGATAGTGGACAATGTGGGTCTATTGAGATCACATTTACTATTGTGTGGAATATGGAGGTCATTGAATCTGTGTGATGGCATTTTATATTATATATATATATATACCGGTCAACTAAAATATTCTCTGCCTTCAATGGCGTTAGAATTTACCTAAATGTATTTATTTATTTCAAATGGCAGGCGTTTTGATAGTTATCATTAGCCCTTTAGTTGACTTCAGGTTTCACAGATGGGAAGGAACATCAAGGTGAAAAAGATCGAGCTGGGGGGGGGGACAGAAGAGTGTTTCAAAGATGTAAAAGAGACAGATACAAAGTTGGAAAAAAGGTGAGGTGAGTACGATTGAAGTAGTCGAATTTTGGAGTCTGAACTCAACTGTCGGTTAATAGACTTTTTGCCGTATGAGTATACATTGCCCAGGGTGTACCACGTGATGGTAAGTCTATCGTACACCCCAATTTACCTAAATGTAATAACATCCAAATGCATAACTTGACACCCACTGTGACTAAATACATGAATTTTGTTACTAATAAATCAAATTTACTTTTAGATAACACACCAGTCTGTGGAATCCTTGTCACCGGTAGGCCTGAAGACGCTTTGGGGGTTTGTGAAGCCCTGAAGAACAACATTCCCTTTGTGATTATAGCTGTGAGTATTAGCATTAAATATTGCAAAAAAACAAAACTATTCACATTGAAATGATATAATTGCTCAAATTATTTATATTTATATCAACTGGCAGGCATCCTGATGGCTACCATTAGCCCTTTAGTTGACTTCAGGCTTCACAGAGGGGAAGAGTCATCAAATTGAAAAAAAGTCGAGAGGGGGGGGAACAGAAGAGTATTTCAAAGATGATAAAGAGACAAACACAAAGGTAGAAAAAAGGTGAGATGAGTACTGTGAAAATAGTCGAATATGGCATAGACTGAGGTGGTGGTAGTTTGAAAAGGGAAGTCAACTGCCATTTAATAGACTTTTTTGCCGTATGAGCATACGTTGCCCAGGGTGCACCACGTGGAGGTAAGTCCCTCGCACACCCCATTGCTCAAATTATTAATG